AAAAAAGCACTGGACGACTATTTCGTTCTATTTTGAGGACTCATCAGCACAGCGCATCCAATAGCGAGAATCGAACCAGGACATTTATGATACAACGCATCATACCGTTGGGCTAGTGAGCCATGATGGCTAAGAGGAAACTAAGTAACTACACACAATATAGTGCAGCTAATCATATTTCTGGTATTGATACTTATCCAAGTATACGTAAAACACAGGACTAGCTCCAAAAGTAACGACTTCTTTCATCAAGCCGCTCAAAAATTATAAACGGTGACATATCTATAGAACATACCAAAAATGATTGGATAGACATGGCTCCACCTGCGAAAAAGGAAGAAAAAGAGAAAAGGCTAAGGAGTGAGTGTAAATTGGGGAAAAAAGGAAGAAAAGGTCAAATGATCACGACACCCAAGACGGACGCGCACATAGCAGCAGGCGCGCAAACACACACACGAACACAAACAACACGAAAAGAATAACAGAATGATAAGTGCCGAAAAAGAAATATAAGCAGTCAATTGCTGATGCCCCCTTGAAGAGTGAATGGTCGTGTGGAGTCGGGATGCTGAAAGTAACATCAATCACCTAAATGACAAATTTTACTTATACTAATTTCTCTCTTTCTTTCTTTCTTTTCTCTCTCTCTCTCTCTCTCTCTCTCTCTCTCTCTATATATATATATATATATATATATATATATATATATATATATATATATATATGTGTGTGTGTGTGTGTGTGTAAAAATAGGAAAAAGAACTCGTTAGGTAAATAATCCAAAGTTCTCTCGTTTTTTTATTATTTTTTAGAAAATAGTGCTCGATACAAAATAGAGCATAAAATAATAATTTATTTAAAAAATATGATTCCAACGCTACATGAGAACTCTTATGTAGCGTTGAATCATATTTTTAAATAAATAAATATATATATATATATATATATATATATATATATATATATATATATATATATATATTAGAATATTACAACAAAACATATACTTAAATAAATAATATTGCACTACTATGTATTGAGCCTTCTTATAAATTAAATGTTGCGAACATTGGGAGTGTACTCTATTCGTTCTGATCGTACATATATAAATATATATATATATATATATATATATATATATATATATTGTTGTTGTGGTAGGATCCACCTAATTTGCATAGTGGAGTACCGACCATATAAATATGGTTGGTACCGGGAAGACGAGGGAGGAATCAAGAGATTCAATCCAGAGACTCTGCCCGACTGCGACTAAGTCAACACATTCTCCAGGAACGGTCTTCCCAAGAATATACAAAAGACTATATGTAAATTTTGTGTACCTTTCTTGTTTCAATACATTTTGTTCTAAGTACATTTTGTGTTGTATTATTATTCCATGCATTAGTCAAGTTTCAACATGTATATATATATATATATATATATATATATATATATATATATATATATATGGCAGTAGTAGGAGAATCCATGACGATCGATCTCTCTATTCATCGTACTATTGATGCGTATGTGTCCGCTTTCTTTTGTTGTTTCTATTGCAAGTTTTACATTTTATATTTCTTGTTTTAGATTTTGTTCTGTTGATTCCTTTTTTCTTCAAATTTATTTTCATTATTTTCTCCTTTTCCGTCTTCTTTTCTTCTTTTTTTTGTTTCTGTTATGGGACCTTACCCATAATAACATAATGGACTATTCCATACGTAATAAATACTGCGCCTCAAGCGGAAGGACAGAGTTCAGCCCGAAGTCGGCCGACCGGCTGATCGGCTGATCGGTTGAACTCTCTGCCTTCGGGCGGGGATGAACCCGAACGAGGCTACGCCGAAGGGCGGAGTCTCTTTCGGGGAGGTAAACCGACCCTGAACCCGTTTATACGGATTCAAAGGGCATATTTTTGGCCGAGCCCACGGGCTCGAAGACCCCACATTAAACCGGCCTTGTGCCACATGATGCCCTCGCGGGAGGGGGTGACTAACTACCGTTCAGTCTGAAGTCGGACGATCGGCTGATCGGTTGAACTGTCTGCCTTCGGGCGGGGAGGAACCCGAACGACGCTATGCCGAACGGCGGAGTTTCGTTCGGGGAGGTAAACCGACCCTGAACCCGTTTATACAGGTTCAAAGTGTATTTATTTGTCATCCTTTCTGTTCCTCCTCCTCCTTCTTCTTCCTTTTTCTTTTCCTCCTCTTCTTCTTCTTCCTTTTTTGTTTCAGACTCCTTTTTCCTTCTTTTATTTTTTTATATTTATTTGTCATCCTTTCTGTTCCTTCTTTTTCTTCTTCTTCACCTCCTCCTCCTCCTCCTCCTCTTCTTTCTTTGTTTCAGACTCCTTTTTCCTTCTTTTATCTTTTTATATTTATTTGTCATCCTTTCTGTTCCTCCTTTTTCTTTTCTTCTTCTTCTTTTTCTTCTTCTTCTTCTTCTTCTTCTTCTTTCTTTGTTACAGACTCTTTTTTCTTCTTTTATCTTTTTATATTTATTTGGCATCCTTTCTGTTCCTCCTTTTTCTTTTTCTTCTTCTTCTTCTTCACCTCCTCCTCGTCCTCCTCCTCCTCTTCTTTCTTTGTTTCAGTCTCCTTTTTCCTTCTTTTATCTTTTTATATTTATTTGTCATCCTCTCTGTTCTTCATCCTCCTCCTTCTTGCTTTTTCTTTTCTTCTTCTTCTTCTTTTGTTTCAGACTCCTTTTTCTTTTTTTTTTCTTTTTTTATATTTATTTGTTTTCCTTTCTTTTTTCCTCCTCCTCCTCCTTCTTCTTCTTCATCTTCTTTATTGGAATGCTTGTTTCACTTTCTTTTACATAGTTATTTTTATCAAAATCTGTTCTTCTTCATCATATCTTATTCTTATTCCCCTACTCCTTCTCTTTCAGGTAAAAACTAGTTTTTACGTTGTTATATTTCTTTGCATCTCTTCTTCCCCTTCCCTCCTCCTTTTTCTTTTCACTTAAAAATTTATTTCACGCTTGTCGTTATATTTCTTTATGTCTCTTTTTCTTATTTTTCTATTTCTTCTTCTTCTGTCGAAAATTTTTCTCATTCTTTTTCGTTGTTTTTTTTTTACATGTGTTCTTTTTCTTCTTTTCTTCTTCTTTCCTTCTTTGTTTCCTTTTTCGTCTTCAGTAAAAAAATGTCTGTGACTAATAGTTTCCGTTATTTTTCTTCACATCTCTCCTACTTCTACTTCTTCTTCAGTTAAAAATTTGTGTTTTTTCTTTCGTTATTTTTCTTCATATCTCTCCTTCTTCTTCTTTTTCATCTTCTTCAGTTGAAAAGGTTTTTCTCTTTGCCCTTTCGTTGTTAATTTCCTTCACATCTCCCCTTCTTCTTTTTCATCTTCTTCAGTTGAAAACGTGTTTCTCTTTGCCCTTTCGTTGTTAATTTCCTTCACATCTCCCCTTCTTCTTTTTCATCTTCTTCAGTTGAAAACGTGTTTCTCTTTGCACTTTCGTTGTTAATTTCCTTCACATCTCCCCTTCTTCTTTTCATCTTCTTCAGTTGAAAACGTGTTTCTCTTTGCACTTTCGTTGTTAATTTCCTTCATCTCCCTTCTTCTTTTCATCTTCTTCAGTTCGTTGTTAATTTTTCATCTCCCCTTCTTCTTTTTCTTCAGTTGAAAAAACGTGTTTCTCTTTGCTTCTTTTCATCTTTTCAGTTGTTTTTAATTTCCTTCGTTGTTAACATCATCCCCTTCTTCTTTTCATCTTCTTCAGTTGAAAACGTTTTTCTCTTTGCACTTTCGTTGTTAATTTCCTTCACATCTCCCCTTCTTCTTTTCATCTTCTTCAGTTGAAAACGTGTTTCTCTTTGCACTTTCGTTGTTAATTTCCTTCACATCTCCCCTTCTTCTTTTTCATCTTCTTCAGTTGAAAACGTTTTTCTCTTTGCACTTTCGTTGTTAATTTCCTTCACATCTCCCCTTCTTCTTTTTCATCTTCTTCAGTTGAAAACGTTTTTCTCTTTGCCCTTTCGTTGTTAATTTCCTTCACATCTCCCCTTCTTCTTTTTCATCTTCTTCAGTTGAAAACGTGTTTCTCTTTGCACTTTCGTTGTTAATTTCCTTCACATCTCCCCTTCTTCTTTTTCATCTTCTTCAGTTGAAAACGTGTTTCTCTTTGCCCTTTTCGTTTGTTAATTTCCTTCACATCTCCCCTTCTTTTTTCATCTTCTTCAGTTGAAAACGTGTTTCTCTTTGCCTTTCGTTGTTAATTTCCTTCATCTCCCCTTCTTCTTTTTCATCTTCTTCAGTTGAAAACGTGTTTTCTCTTTGCCCTTTCGTTTGTTAATTTCCTTCACATCTCCCCTTCTTCTTTTCATCTTCTTCAGTTGAAAACGTGTTTTCTCTTTGCACTTTCGTTGTTAATTTCCTTCATCTCCCCTTCTTCTTTTCATCTTCTTCAGTTGAAAACGTGTTTCTCTTTGCACTTTCGTTGTTAATTTCCTTCACATCTCCCTTCTTTTTTTCATCTTCTTCAGTTGAAAACGTGTTTCTCTTTGCCCTTTCGTTGTTAATTTCCTTCACATCTCCCTTCTTCTTTTCATCTTCTTTTCGTTTCTTCTTCTTTCGTTTGTTAAAACATCTCCTTCTTCTTTTTCATCTTCTTCAGTTGAAAACGTGTTTCTCTTTGCACTTTCGTTGTTAATTTCCTTCACATCTCCCCTTCTTCTTTTTCATCTTCTTCAGTTGAAAACGTTTTCTCTTTGCCCTTTCGTTGTTAATTTCCTTCACATCTCCCCTTCTTCTTTTTCATCTTCTTCAGTTGAAAACGTGTTTCTCTTTGCCCTTTCGTTGTTAATTTCCTTCATCTCCCTTCTTCTTTTTTTTGAAAATCTTCTTCACTTTCGTTGTTAAATCTCCCCTTCTTCTTTTTCATCTTCTTCAGTTTAAACGTTTTTCTCCTTTTCGTTGTTAATTTCCTTTCATCTCCTTCTTCTTTTCATCTTCTTCAGTTGAAAACGTGTTTCTCTTTGCCCTTTCGTTGTTAATTTCCTTCACATCTCCCTTCTTCTTTTCATCTTCTTCAGTTGAAAACGTGTTTCTCTTTGCCCTTTCGTTGTTAATTTCCTTCACATCTCCCCTTCTTCTTTTTCATCTTCTTCAGTTGAAAACGTGTTTCTCTTTGCCCTTTCGTTGTTAATTTCCTTCACATCTCCCCTTCTTCTTTTTCATCTTCTTCAGTTGAAAACGTGTTTCTCTTTGCACTTTCGTTGTTAATTTCCTTCACATCTCCCCTTCTTCTTTTTCATCTTCTTCAGTTGAAAACGTTTTCTCTTTGCCCTTTCGTTGTTAATTTCCTTTCTCCTTCTTTTCATCTTCTTCATCTCTCCCTTTTCGTTGTTCTTCCTTTTCATCTTCTTCATCTTCAGTTGAAAAACGTTTTCTCTTGCACTTTCGTTGTTAATTTCCTTCATCTCCCCTTCTTCTTTTTCATCTTCTTCAGTTGAAAACGTTTTTCTCTTTGCACTTTCGTTGTTAATTTCCTTCACATCTCCCCTTCTTCTTTTTCATCTTCTTCAGTTGAAAACGTTTTTCTCTTTGCCCTTTCGTTGTTAATTTCCTTCACATCTCCCCTTCTTCTTTTTCATCTTCTTCAGTTGAAAACGTTTTCTCTTTGCCCTTTCGTTGTTAATTTCCTTCACATCTCCCTTCTTCTTTTTTCATCTTCTTCAGTTGAAAACGTTTTTTCTCTTTTGCACTTTCGTTGTTAATTTCCTTCACATCTCCCCTTCTTCTTTTTCATCTTCTTCAGTTGAAAACGTTTTCTCTTTGCCCTTTCGTTTTTTAATTTCCTTCACATCTCCCCTTCTTCTTTTTTCATCTTCTTCAGTTGAAAACGTTTTCTCTTTGCCCTTTCGTTGTTAATTTCCTTCATCTCCCCTTCTTCTTTTTCATCTTCTTCAGTTGAAAACGTTTTTCTCTTTGCCCTTTCGTTGTTAATTTCCTTCACATCTCCTTCTTCTTTTCATCTTCTTCAGTTGAAAACGTTTGTTTCCTTCTCTTTCTTCTTTTCATCTTCTTGTTAACGTGTTTTTGCCCTTTCGTTGTTAATTTCCCATCTCCCCTTTCTTTTTCATCTTCTTCAGTTGAAAACGTGTTTCTCTTTGCCCTTTCGTTTGTTAATTTCCTTCATCTCCCCTTCTTCTTTTCATCTTCTTCAGTTGAAAACGTTTTCTCTTTGCCCTTTCGTTGTTAATTTCCTTCATCTCCCCTTCTTCTTTTTCATCTTCTTCAGTTCTTCTTGTGTTTTTTTGCACTTTCGTTTTCGTTGTTAATTTCCTTCATCTCCCCTTCTTCTTTTTCATCTTCTTCAGTTGAAAACGTTTTTCTCTTTGCCCTTTCGTTGTTAATTTCCTTCATCTCCCCTTCTTCTTTTTCATCTTCTTCAGTTGAAAACGTTTTTCTCTTTGCCCTTTCGTTGTTAATCTCCTTCTTCTTTTTTCCTTCGTGTTTCACTTTCATTTCTTCCTTCTTCTTTTTCATCTTCTTCAGTTGAAAACTTGTTTCTCTTTGCCCTTTCGTTGTTAATTTCCTTCCATCTCCTTCTTCGTTTGTTAATTTTTTCATCTTCTTCAGTTGAAAACGTTTTCTCTTTGCCCTTTCGTTGTTAATTTCCTTCACATCTCCCCTTCTTCTTTTTCATCTTCTTCAGTTGAAAACGTGTTTCTCTTTGCACTTTCGTTGTTAATTTCCCATCTCCCTTCTTCTTTTTCATCTTCTTCTTTTTTCTCTTTCTTCAGTTGTTAATTTCCTTCATTCCCCTTCTTCTTTTGCCCTTTCGTTGAAAACGTTTTTTTCCTTTTCTTTGTTAATTTCCCCATCTCCTTCTTCTTTTTCATCTTCTTCAGTTGAAAACGTGTTTCTCTTGCCCTTTCGTTGTTAATTTCCTTCATCTCCCCTTCTTCTTTTTCATCTTCTTCAGTTGAAAACGTTTTTCTCTTTTGCCCTTTTCGTTGTTAATTTCTTCACATTCCCCTTCTTCTTTTCATCTTCTTCAGTTTGAAAACATTTCCTTCATCTCCTTCTTTTCATCTTCTTCAGTTGAAAACGTTTTTTTGTTAATTTCCTTCTTCTCTCCCTTCTTCTTTTCATCTTCTTCAGTTGAAAACGTGTTTCTTTTTGCACTTTCGTTGTTAATTTCCCCTTCTTCTTCTTTTCATCTTCTTCAGTTGAAAACGTGTTTTCTCTTTCATCTCCCTTCTTCTTTTCATCTTCTTCGTTGAAAACGTTTTCTCTTTAATTTCCTTCACATCTCCCCTTCTTCTTTTCATCTTCTTCAGTTGAAAACGTTTTCTCTTTGCCCTTTCGTTTGTTAATTTCCTTCACATCTCCCTTCTTCTTTTCATCTTCTTCAGTTGAAAACGTGTTTTTTTTCTTTGCACTTTCGTTGTTAATTTCCTTCATCTCCCCTTCTTCTTTTCATCTTTTCATCGTTTTCTTCAGTTGAAAACCTTCTTCTTTTCATCTTTTCCCGTGTTTCGCCCTTTCGTTTGTTAATTTCCTTCACATCTCCCCTTCTTCTTTTCATCTTCTTCAGTTGAAAACTTTTTTTCTCTTTCTTTTTCATCTTCTTTCGTTTGTTAATTTCCTTCACATCTCCCCTTCTTTTTCATCTTCTTCAGTTGAAAACGTGTTTCTCTTTGCCCTTTCGTTTGTTAATTTCTTTCATCTCCCCTTCTTCTTTTTCATCTTCTTCAGTTGAAAACGTGTTTTCTTTTGCACTTTCGTTTGTTAATTTCCTTCACATCTCCCCTTCTTCATCTTTTTCATCTTCTTCAGTTGAAAACGTGTTTCTCTTTGCACTTTTTTCGTTGTTAATTTCCTTCACATCTCCTTCTTCTTTTTTCATCTTCTTCAGTTGAAAACGTTTTTCTCTTTGCCCTTTCGTTGTTAATTTCCTTCACATCTCCCCTTCTTCTTTTCATCTTCTTCAGTTGAAAACGTGTTTTTCTTTCGTTGCATCTCCTTCTTCTTTTCATCTTCTTGTTGAAAACGTGTTTCTCTTTCCTTTCGTTGTTAGTTTCCTTCATCTCCCCTTCTTCTTTTTCATCTTCTTCAGTTGAAAACGTGTTTCTCTTTGCCCTTTCGTTGTTAATTTCCTTCACATCTCCCCTTCTTCTTTTTCATCTTCTTCAGTTGAAAACGTTTTCTCTTTGCCCTTTCGTTGTTAATTTCCTTCACATCTCCCCTTCTTCTTTTTCATCTTCTTCAGTTGAAAACGTTTTCTCTTTGCCCTTTCGTTGTTAATTTCCTTAATCTCCCTTCTTTTCTTCAGTTGAAAACGTGTTTCTCTTTGCCCCCTTTCATCTCCCCCCTTCTTCTTTTCATCTTCTTCAGTTGAAAACGTGTTTCTCTTTTGCACTTTCGTTGTTAATTTCCTTCATCTCCCCTTCTTCTTTTTCATCTTCTTCAGTTGGCTTGTGTTTCTCTTTGCCCTTTCGTTGTTAATTTCCTTCACATCTCCCCTTCTTCTTTTCATCTTCTTCAGTTGAAAACGTTTTTTCTCTTTGCACTTTCGTTGTTAATTTCCTTCACATCTCCCCCTTCTTTTCTTTTTCATCTTCTTCGTTTTTTCGTTGAAAATCTTCTTCGTTGAAAACGTTTTCTCTTTGCCCTTTCGTTGTTAATTTTTCTTCATCTCCCCTTCTTCTTTTTCATCTTCTTCAGTTGAAAACGTTTTTCTCTTTGCACTTCCGTTGTTAATTTCCTTCACATCTCCCCTTCTTCTTTTCATCTTCTTCAGTTGAAAACGTCTTTTTTCTCTTTGCCCTTTCGTTGTTAATTTCCTTCACATCTCCCCTTCTTCTTTTTCATCTTCTTCAGTTGAAAACGTTTCTCTTTGCCCTTTCGTTGTTTTTCCTTTCCTTCTTCTTTTCATCTTCTTGTTAATTTCCTTCCCACTTTCTCCTCCTTCTTCTTTTTCATCTTCTTCAGTTGAAAACGTGTTTCTTTTGCCCTTTCGTTGTTAATTTCCTTCACATCTCCCCTTCTTCTTTTTCATCTTCTTCAGTTGAAAACGTTGTTTCTCTTTGCCCTTTCGTTGTTAATTTCCTTTTCCTTCTTCTTTCTCTTCTTCTTCTTTTCATCTTCTTCAGTTGAAAACGTGTTTCTCTTTGCCCTTTTCGTTGTTAATTTCCTTCACATCTCCCCTTCTTCTTTTTCATCTTCTTCAGTTGAAAACGTTGTTAATTTTTTCTCTTTTCATTTTTCTTTCGTTTGTTAATTCTTTTCATCGTTGTTAATTTCCCCTCTCTTCTTTTTCATCTTCTTCAGTTGAAAACGTTTTCTCTTTGCCCTTTCGTTGTTAATTTCCTTCACATCTCCCTTCTTCTTTTCATCTTCTTCAGTTGAAAACGTGTTTCTCTTTGCCCTTTCGTTGTTAATTTTCCTTCTCATCTCCCTTCTTCTTTTGCCCTCATCTTCTTCAGTTTCTTCTTTTTTCTTTTTGCCCTTTTCGTTGTTAATTTCCTTCACATCTCCCCTTCTTCTTTTTCATCTTCTTCAGTTGAAAACGTGTTTCTCTTTGCCCTTTCGTTGTTAATTTCCTTCATCTCCCTTCTTCTTTTTCATCTTCTTCAGTTGAAAACGTTTTCTCTTTGCCCTTTCGTTGTTAATTTCCTTCACATCTCCCCTTCTTCTTTTCATCTTCTTCAGTTGAAAACGTTTTCCTTCATCTCCTTCTTCTTTTTCGTTGTTGAAAATTTTCCTGCCATCTTTCTTCTTTTTTCATCTTCTTCAGTTGAAAACGTGTTTCTCTTTGCCCTTTTCGTTGAATTTCCTTCTCCCCTTTTTCATCTTTTTTTCATCCTTCTTTTTCATCTTCTTCAGTTGAAAACGTTTTTCTCTTTGCCCTTTCGTTTGTTAATTTCCTTCATCTCCCCTTCTTCTTTTTCATCTTCTTCAGTTGAAAACGTTTTTCTCTTTGCCCTTTCGTTGTTAATTTCCTTCACATCTCCCCTTCTTCTTTTTCATCTTCTTCAGTTGAAAACGTGTTTCTCTTTGCACTTTCGTTGTTAATTTCCTTTTCCTTCTTCTTTTTCATCTTCTTCAGTTGAAAACGTGTTTCCTTTGCCCTTTCGTTGTTAATTTCTTTTCCCTTCTTCTTTTTCATCTTCTTCAGTTGAAAACGTGTTTCTCTTTGCCCTTTCGTTGTTAATTTCCTTTCATCTCCCCTTCTTCTTTTTCATCTTCTTCAGTTGAAAACGTTTTCTCTTTGCCCTTTCGTTGTTAATTTCCTTCACATCTCCCTTCTTCTTTTCATCTTCTTCAGTTGAAAAACTTTCGTTGTTAATTTCCTTCACATCTCCCTTCTTCTTTTTTCTTCTTGTTGAAAAATTTCACTTTCATTTGTTAATTTCATCTCTCCTTCTTCTTTTCATCTTCTTCAGTTGAAAACGTTTTCTCTTTGCCCTTTCGTTGTTAATTTCCTTCACATCTCCCTTCTTCTTTTCATCTTCTTCAGTTGAAAACGTTTTTCTCTTTGCCCTTTCTTTTGTTAATTTCCTTCATCTCCCCTTCTTCTTTTCATCTTCTTCAGTTGAAAACGTGTTTCTCTTTCTTTCGTTGTTAATTTCCTTCACATCTTTCTTCTTTTTCATCTTCTTCAGTTGAAAACGTGTTTCTCTTTGCCCTTTCTTCTTTTCATCTTCTTCTTCAGTTGAAAACCCTTTTCTTTTCATCTTCGTTGAAGTTTTTTTCTCTTTGCCCTTTCGTTTTTTCTTAATTTTTAGTTCTTCATCTTTCTTCTTTTTTCATCTCCCTTCTTCTTTTTCTTTCTTCTTCGTTTTAAAACTTCATTCCCCTTCTTCTTTTCATCTTCTTCAGTTGAAAATTTCCTTCATCTCCCCTTCTTCTTTTCATCTTCTTCAGTTGAAAACGTGTTTCTTTCTTTTTGCCATCTCCTTCTTCTTTTTCTTCTTTTCGTGTTTCTTCTTTGCACTTTCGTTGTTAATTTCCTTCATCTCCCTTCTTCTTTTCATCTTCTTCAGTTGAAAACGTTTTTCTCTTTGCACTTTCGTTGTTAATTTTCCTTCACATCTCCCTTCTTCTTTTCATCTTCTTCAGTTGAAAACGTTTTCTCTTTGCCCTTTCGTTGTTAATTTCCTTCATCTCCCCTTCTTCTTTTCATCTTCTTCAGTTGAAAACTCTTGTTAATTTCCTTCATCTTTCTTCTTTTTCATCTCTTCTTGTTGAAGGTATTTTTCTTTCCTTTCATCTCCCTTCTTCTTTTCATCTTCTTCAGTTGAAAACGTTTTTCTCTTTGCACTTTCGTTGTTAATTTCTTCATCATCCCTTCTTCTTTTTCATCTTCTTATAGTTTTCCGTCTTTTCTCTTTGCACTTTCGTTGTTAATTTCCTTCACATCTCCCTTCTTCTTTTCATCTTCTTCAGTTGAAAACGTGTTTCTCTTTCTTTCGTTGTTAATTTCTTCTCTCCCTTCTTCTTTTCATCTTCTTCGTTTAAAACGTTTTCTCTTTCTTTTCTCTCATTTATTTCCTTCACATCCCCTTCTTCTTTTCATCTTCTTCAGTTACTGTTTCTCTTTGCCCTTTCTTGTTAATTTCCTTCTTCTTCTTCTTTTCATCTTCTTCAGTTGAAAACGTTTTCCTTCTCTTTACTTTCGTTGTTAATTTCCTTCATCTCCCCTTCTTCTTTTCATCTTCTTCAGTTGAAAACGTGTTTTTCTTTGCTTCTTCTTGTTAATTTCCTTTCTTCTTCTTCTTTTCTTCTTTTCCTTCGTTTTTTCTTCAATCTAAAACATCTTTTCCTTTCTTCTACTACGTTTTCTCTTTCTTCTTGTTTTTTCTTCTTCCCCTTCTTTTTTTCTTCTTCAGTTGAAAACGTTTTTTCCTTCTTTTACTCTTTTAATTTCAATCTCCCCTTCTTCTTGTCCTCTCTTCTACTACTTGCACTTTCGTTGTTAATTTCTTCATCTCCCCTTCTTCTTCTTCTTCAGTTCTTCTTTTTTCGTTTTAATTTCCTTTTCCTTCTTCTTTTCATCTTCTTCAGTTTTGTTTGTTCTTTCTTCTTCTTCTTTCCTTCCCATCTCCCCTTCTTCTTTTCATCTTCTTCAGTTGAAAACGTTTTTCTCTTTGCACTTTCGTTGTTAATTTCTTCACATCTCCTTCTTCTTTTTTCATCTTCTTCAGTTGAAAACTTTTTCTCTTTTACTTTCGTTGTTAATTTCCTTCATCTCCCCTTCTTCTTTTCATCTTCTTCTTGAAAACGTTTTTCTTTCTTTTCTTTTTTCTTCTTCCTTCTTCTTCTTCTTCTTCTTTTCATCTTAATCTTATCTCCCTTCTTCTTTTCATCTTCCTTGTTTTCTCTTTACTTTCGTTGTTAATTTCCTTCTTCTTCTTCTTCTTCTTCTTCTTCTTCGTTTGAAAACTTTTCTTTCTTTTCTCTCATTTCCTTTGATCTTCTTCTTGAAAACGTTTTCTCTTTGCACTTTCTTTGTTAATTTTCTTCTCTCCTTCTTCTCTTCTTCTTCTTCGTTTAAAACGTTTTCTCTTTCTTTCGTTCTTAATTTCCTTCATCTCCCCTTCTTCTATCCTTGTCCTCGTGTTTTCTACTACTTGTTTAATTTTCTTTCTTCTTCTTCTTCTTCTTCTTCTTCTTCTCTTTCTTCGTTTTAATTTCCTTTTCTTCTTCTTTTATCTTCTTCAGTTGAAAACGTGTTTCTGGCGCCTTTCGTTGTTAATTTCCTTCACATCTGTTCTTCTTTTCTTCTTCTTCAGTTGAAGTGTTTCTTTTGCACTTTCGTTGTTAATTTCCTTCTTCTTCTTCTTCTTCTTCTTCTTCTTTTCTTCTTCGTTTTTAATTTCCTTCCATTTCCTTCTTTTTTTCTTCTTAATGTTGAAAACGTTTTCTTTCCTTCCGTTCTTAATTTCTTCTTCTTCTTCTCTTCTTCTTCGTTTTCTTTGCACTTCGTCATTTCTTCTTCCTTCACATCTCCCTTCTTCTTTTCTCTTTTTGTTCTTCTACACTTCTTGTTAATTTCTTCTCTCCCTTCTTCTTTTCTTCTTCTTCGTTTATAACGTTTTTCTCTTTGCACTTTCATTTAATTTCCTTCATCTCCCTTCTTCTTTTTTCATCTTCTTCACTTGAAAACGTTTTTCTTTCTTCTTCTTAATTTCCTTCTTCTTCTTCTTTTCATCTTCTTTTGAAAACATTTTTCTCTTTGCACTTTCGTTTTAATTTCCTTCACATCTCCCTTCTTCTTTTCTTCTTCTTGAAAACGTTTTTTCTTTTTCTTCTTCTTCTTCTTCTTCTTCTTCTTTTCTTCTTCTTCAGTTCGTTTTCTCTTTTCCTTCTTTCTTCATTTAATCTTCTATCTTCTTTCTCTTTTCTACTACTTTCGTTTGTTAATTTCCTTCCATCTTCTTCTTCTTCTTCTTCTTCTTCAGTTTAAAACTTTTTCTTCTTTTGCACTTTCGTTTTTAATTTCCTTCATCTCCCCTACCTTCTTTTTCATCTTCTTCAGTTGAAAACGTGTTTCTCTTTCTTTCTTCTTTCCTTCTCTCTTCTTCTTTTCATCTTCTTCAGTTAAAAACGTTTTCTCTTTTCCTTTCGTTTGTTAATTTTTCCTTCTTTTCCTTCTTCATTTAATCTTGTTAATCTACCTTGTCCTCTCTTCTACTACTTTGAAGATTATTTCTTCTTCTTCTTCTTCTTCTTCTTCTTCTTCGTTTTATCTTTTTCCTTCTTTTACTCTTCTTTTAATCTAAGCGCCCCGATCTACCTTGTCCTTTCTTCTACTACTTGAAGAGTGTTTCTTCTTCTTTTCTTCTTTTCTTCTTTTCTTCTTTCTTCTTCTTCTTCTTCTTCTTTCACTTTCGTTTACTTAACTTTTCCTTCTTTTCATCTTCAGTTGAAAACTTTTTTTCTTTTACTTTCGTTGTTAATTTCCTTCATCTCCCCTTCTTTTCATCTTCTTCAGTTACGTGTTTTTCTTTTGCACTTTCGTTCTTCTTCTTCTTCCCTTCTTCTTTTCATCTTCTTCGTTTAAAACGTGTTTCTTTTCCTTTCGTTGTTAATTTTTCACATCTCTCTTTTTTAATCAGTTGAAAGCGTTTTCCCTTTCGTTAATTTCCTTGTCCTCTCTTTTTATCTTCTTACTTGAAAACGTGTTTTCTTTCACTTTCTTCTTCTTCTTCTTCTTCTTCTTCATCTTCTTCGTTTATAACTTTTCCTTCTTTTACTCTCATTTAATCAAGCTTTCATCTCCCCTTGTCTCTCTTCTGACGTTTTCTCTACTTGAACTTTCGTTGTTATTTCCTTCTTCTTCTTCTTTTTCTTCTTCTTCTTCTTCTTTCGTTTTAATTTCCTTTTCCTTCTTTTATCTTCTTCATTTAATCTTAGCGCTTCCATTGTTAATTTCTACCTTGTCCTCTCTTCTTCTTCAGTTGAAAACGTGTTTCTTTTCTTCTTCTTCTTCTTCTTCTTCTTCTTTTTTCTTCTTCAGTTTTCGTTTTCTTTTACTCTCATTTTAATCCTTCACATCGCCTTCTTCTTTTCATCTACCTTGTTCCTTTCTTCTTTACTTTCGTTGTTAATTTTCTTCTCTCTTCTTCTTCTTCTTCTTCTTCTTCGTTTATAACGTTTTCCTTCTTTTACTTCTCATTTAATTTCTTCATCTCCCTTTCTACCTTTTCATCTCTTCTACTTTTTCTCTTGAAGTTAATTTCCTTCATTTTCTTCTTCTTCTTCTTCTTCTTCTTCTTCTTCTTCACATCTCCTTCTTCTTTTCATCTTTTAGTTAACTTTTCCTTCTTTTTCATCTTCTTCAGTTCGTTTTTAATCTGTTAATTTCCCCGATCTACTTCTTTTCCTCTCTTCTACTACTTGAACTTTCGTTGTTATTTCTTCTTCTTCTTCTTCTTCTTCTTCGTGTTTCTTCTTCTTCGTTTAAAACGTTGTTAATTTTTCCTTCTTTTTCTTCTCAGTTTTAATTTAGCGCCCCGTTCTACCTTGTCCTCTCTTCTATCTTCTTGAAACGTTTTTTCTCTTTTTCTTCTTCTTAATTTCCTTTCTTCTTCTTCTTTTCGTTTTAACTTTTCCTTCTTTTACTCTCATTTAATCTAGTTAATTTCCGATCTACCTTGTCCTCTCTTCTACTACTTGAAGGGTATTTCTTCTTCTTCTTCTTCTTCTTCTTCTTCTTCTTCTTCTTTTCCTTCTTTTACTCTCATTTAATCTAGCGCCCCGATCTAATTAATTGTCCTCTCTTCTACTACTTGAAAAGAGTTTTCTTCTTCTTCTTCTTCTTCTTCTTCTTCTTCTTCGTTTATAACTTTTCCTTCTTTTACTCTCATTTAATCTAGCGCCCCGATCTACCTTGTCCTCTCTTCTACTACTTATTCTTCTTCTTCTTCTTCTTCTTCTTCTTCTTCTTCGTTTATAACTTTTCCTTCTTTTACTCTCATTTAATCTAGCGCCCCGATCTACCTTGTCCTCTCTTCTACTACTTGAAGAGTATTTCTTCTTCTTCTTCTTCTTCTTCTTCTTCTTCTTCGTTTATAACTTTTCCTTCTTTTACTCTCATTTAATCTAGCGCCCCGATCTACCTTGTCCTCTCTTCTACTACTTGAAGAGTATTTCTTCTTCTTCTTCTTCTTCTTCTTCTTCTTCTTCTTCTTCTTCTTCGTTTATAACTTTTCCTTCTTTTACTCTCATTTAATCTAGCGCCCCGATCTACCTTGTCCTCTCTTCTACTACTTGAAAAGGTCTTTTAATCTTCTTCTTCTTCTTCTTCTTCTTCTTCTTCGTTTATAACTTTTCCTTCTTTTTACTCTCATTTAATCTAGCGCCCCGATCTACCTTGTCCTCTCTTCTACTACTTGAGTATTTCTTCTTCTTCTTCTTCTTCTTCTTCTTCTTCGTTTATAACTTTTCCTTCTTTTACTCTCATTTAATCTAGCGCCCCGATCTACCTTGTCCTCTCTTCTACTACTTGAAGAGTATTTCTTCTTTTCTTCTTCTTCTTCTTCTTCTTCTTCTTCTTCTTCTTCTTCGTTTATAACTTTTCCTTCTTTTACTCTCATTTAATCTAGCGCTTCGATCTACTTCTTGTCCTCTCTTCTACTACTTGAATCCAGTATTTCTTCTTCTTCTCTTCTTCTTCTTCTTCTTCTTCTTCGTTTATAACTTTTCCTTCTTTTACTCTCATTTAATCAAAGCCTTGATCTACCTTGTCCTCTCTCTTCTACTACTTGAAAAGTATTTTCTTCTTCTTCTTCTTCTTCTTCTTCTTCTTTTCTTTTCTTTTCCTTCTTTTTCTTTTCATTTAATCTAGCGCCCCGATCTACCTTGTCCTCTCTTCTACTACTTGAAAAGTATTTCTTCTTCTTCTTCTTCTTCTTCTTCTTCTTCTTTTCCTTCTTTTACTCTCTTTTCCGATTCTTTTCCTCTCTTCTACTACTTAATCTATTTCTTCTTCTTCTTCTTCTTCTTCTTCTTCCTTTTCCTTCTTTTACTCTCATTTAATCTAGCGTCCCCGATCTACCTTTCCTCTCTTCTACTACTTGAAGTATTTCTTCTTCTTCTTCTTCTTCTTCTTCTTCTTCTTCTTACTCTCATTTATAACTTTTCCTTCTTTTATTTCTTCTTCTTCTTCTTCTTCTCTTATCTTCTTTTTCCTTCTTTTAATCTAGCCCCGATCTACCTTGTCCTCTCTTCTACTACTTGAAGAGTATTTCTTCTTCTTCTTCTTCTTCTTCTTCTTCTTCTTTGTTTATAACTTTTCCTTCTTTTACTCTCATTTAATCTAGCGCCCCGATCTACCGTGTCCTCTCTTCTACTACTTGAAGGGTATTTCTTCTTCTTCTTTTCATCTTCTTCTTCTTCTTCGTTTATAACTTTTCCTTCTTTTACTCTCATTTAATCTAGCTTTTCCTTCTTCTTTTAATCTACCTTGTCCTCTCTTCTACTACTTGAAGGTATTTCTTCTTCTTCTTTTCTTCTTCTTCTTCTTCTTCGTTTATAACTTTTCCTTCTTTTTACTCTCATTTTAATCAAGCGCCCCGATCTACCTTGTCCTCTCTTCTACTACTTGAAAGAGTATTTCTTCTTCTTCTTCTTCTTCTTCTTCTTCTTCTTCTTCGTTTATAACTTTTCCTTCTTTTACTCTCATTTAATCTAGCGCCCCGATCTACCTTGTCTCTCTTCTACTACTTGAAGAGTATTTCTTCTTCTTCTTCTTCTTCTTCTTCGTTTTCTTCTTTTCCTTCTTTTTTACTCTCATTTAATCTAGCGCCCCGATCTACCTTGTCCTCTCTTCTACTACTTG